TAGAATAACATTTTGTAACCCCATGTAGAGAGAACACAGTGAGCTTGAACTAGCTCTGTTTTTCTCTTTTTCTGAAGATACTCATAAAGCCTTTAAGCTTAGACCATATTTAAAATCAGTTTAAGGCTTGTATATGAGATTGACATTTATAGGCAATAAATCTGAACTCTGTGTCGCCAGACCCCAAATTGTATTTTGACATTAAATATCACCTTTCCATCCACTACTATAAATTGTAGTGCTGGATTAGGTTCGGTGATATGTATTATCTGTGCTCTTCTTTGCTACTTTTGTCAGCAGCTCCCTTGAGGAAGGGGAGGTCTGGAGAGCTTGGAGTCAGTAACCTGAACTCCAACAGTGATGTCATGTGAGACAAAACTTGATGAATTCCATTCCTAAATTAAGCAAAGAAAACTTGGCCACATTCATAAGGCCATGATAAACTAGAATTCCTAGGGAAATAAGATGTTGAAATAAAAAATAAAATTCCTGGTAACCCAGGGCTAGTCTCATCCCTAGCCTTTTTAAAACTTCGGTTATTGAAAAGCTGTCTAAAAATGTCTGAATATGCTTTCTAGCCTACTTCAGTAAGATTTAAACCTTACTTTACTGGGACCTTGGAGGAGTCATCCTTATATCTTATATATGCCATTTGTCATCCTACCTAGCTATGTTGCATTATTGCACTTATTTAATATGTGCTAAATATTTATCTCTATTGTTAACTCCTTCAGATAGTGAGCTCCTGGGGAGCAGGGACCAAGTTTCTTTTGTTCCCAATTGTGCCCTCAGCATGTAGCACAGTGCCTGGCACATAGAAAGTATGCTAAACTAGGTCCTCTGAGAAGTGGATGCCAATTGGATTAGCATCCAATCCAATATGGAATTAGATATGTAACAGATTTACTGGGGAAAATAAATGTGAAGGAAAGTGGGTAGAGAACTGAAGGAGGGTACTAATATAGTAGGGTCATGAGACCATGGTGCAGATCTGACCTCAGTAGAGGAAAAAGGAAAGGAAGCAAAGTTGAATAGGAAAAATTTCAGACTGTAGTGCAGGTCAATGGGGAGTCTTCAAGTCAAAGTCCCTTGTGACTATCTTTGCCATGCGGAGCCAGCAGGTGGCATGGTGGTTAAGGCACTGGACTCCATATGGCCAACTGCGATTCAAGTCCCAGATCTGGCAGCTTGCATTCTAACTTTTCCACTGTCTCCCTCTCTCTCTGGTGAATATATGTGCCCTATAGCAAATAAAAATAACCATCATCATGATAAAATAAAATTAAAACTTAAAAAAAATATTTTTGCCATGCTGAGTCATTGCCTGGGAGCAGCTTCTAGGAATTGTGGGCTCAGCACAACATGGTGGTGAATTCAGTGAGTAGCAGCTGGAGCCATTAGTCAATTCACACCCCACAGGAGATCAAAGATGCATATTTTCCTGGCACAATAGAAAGGAGCTCAACAAATGCTCATTGAAGAGGAAGCTTGAGTGGAACAGGAGTTGCAGAGAGGAAGAAGTTGACCTTATAGTCATTGAGCCTTAGTTTCTGGAATGGGTGAAGGAAATAAAATCATGAAATGCTCCCTGACTTCCTACACCTCTCCTCAAATATTGTCATATGAAAGAAGCCTTCCCCAGCTACCTTATATAAAATAGACTAATCCTTGAGACTACCACATCCCATATCTCCTTCACTTGAATTTTTAAAAATTAAAACCTAATTGAGGTTTTAATTGAGTTTTATTGAGGTATAATTGACATATAATAAACTGTTCATGTGATAAGGGTACAATCTGATAAGTATGATATATATATACTCCTAAAATCATCACCATCATCAAGATAATGGACATATCCATCACTCTCCAAAGTTTCCTCACTGCTCTTTGTAATCCCTCACTCCCACCCTGTCTCTGTGTTCTAACCCCCAACTACTGAGGTCCTTTCTGTCACTACAAATTAGTTTCCATTTTCTAGACTTTTGTATGAATAAAACCATAGAGTATGCACTTTTCTGGGGCCTGGCTTCTTTCATGAACCATAGTATATTTTTTCTTTTTTTTTTTGAAAGGTTTTTGGTATAGGGCACGTGTGCTCGCCAGAAAGACAGAGAGAGACAGAGAGACAGAAAGCGAGAAATCACCCACCCCCCCGGGGGATGGCCACACCGCGATCCCTTCTCCTCCATTCTCCTCTTGGGATCTTGGGCACGCACGCACATGTGCCCGGCGTGAGTTTCAGCAAGCAGGTCTGGGACTTGAACCGTGGTCAACTACGTGGGAGTCCAGCTACATAGCCATTACGTTAACTGCTGGCCCCAAGTACCATAGTATTTTTGAGGTTCTCATTCATGTGGCAGCATATACCAATGATTAATTTCTTATATGGCTAAATAAATAGAATTCCATTATATGTGTATACCACAGTTTGTTTTCCTTTTATTTGTTTTATTTTTTTCTATAGTACTGATCACCACTTGACATTGTTTTTATATCTTTGTTTATTTGTTTTCTCCATGAGAGCAGAGACTTTCTTTTTTTAAAGAATTATTTATTTGAGACCAGCAGGTGGCATGGTGGTTAAGGTGCGGAATTCCCACATGTTGTGGTTAGA